CCGGCCCCGAGGGGCGGGCGGGCAAGGGGCTGCGGAAGGGTGGAGGGAGCGCTGGAGCGGCAGGGTGGGAGTTTGCTGGTCTTAGCACACCCTGCCCCTGAGGGGAGGAGGCCTGGCAAAGTTTTGGAGCCGCTGGCCTTCCAGGGGTTGCCCCCTCTTCCCCCTCCCTGCCCCGTCTGAGTCTCCAGCCCGAAGGGGTAGGCATCCAGAAGGGTTTCCCATGGGGAGAAGGGAGGTTTGGTGAAGTTTCTGGGACTCCTGGCATGGGATGGGGCCTAGCGATGCACGCGGGGGCAAGGCACCCGGCGCAGAGGTGCGCGGCGAAGGTGAGCATCCTGGCCGGGCTGGCTGCGGCTCTGGGCCGGCTGCCTCCCTCAGGTTTCAGGTGAAGCTCAGATCAGAGCAGTCCGGCACTTCGTGCTAGCCTACCAACCCATTGCTCCAGCGGAGACCCTGGCAAAACGAGGTTTTCAGCCTGTCAGAAGGGGAGAGTTTTGAAGAAATGACCCATCTGCCTTGCTTATGTTGTTTCTGAGTCCCTCTTCCCGCTTGAATCTGAGGCTGCTTGAAACGAGCTCCTGCTCTGGATTTTCTGATCTCTCCCTTTAAAAATAAACACATGATGGAGCTTTCCTGGAAAAGAGTCAGGAGACTGGACCTCAGTTTAATAAACATTTCATGAGAAATTCAGGATATGAAAGTGAATTTCTATTCTTATTTATTGTCTGCTCGTATCATTATGCACTGCAGGGACCCAGACCACGACTGAGACCTCTGCTGTAATGGTAGTTCTTCAAACTAGAATACTTCATAATATGGTGGCTCCTATCATTGGCCTTTTCGAGGAGAAATGCCATGGGGAAGCAAAGAGTAAAGTTGATCCTGGGTGGGGTATGGTTCTTGAGTGTTTTGTATGAGCTGCATCTCTCTGTGTTTTCTAGGCTCTCTAATTATGCCACTGTAGAGTGAGTTATATTTAAGTGAATTATATTATACATGAGGTTTAATTGTCTCACTGAAACGTTCATTCATTCTATCTGGCGAATACACAATGTCCAAAATTCTGACTGAAGGATTTCAACTGTAAAAATCAACCTCTCAGATCAACGTAGGGCATCCTTCATTGGTACGTGAGCTGCTTGCAGGGAACAAGGAAAGTGTTGAATCATTACAAAATCCCATATCCTACCCTTCTAGGAATATCATAATATTATAGATAAGTAGATGATGTCAAGCTTTGGCTTTAGAACCATGGGTAATACTTTTCAACCATGGAGGTGTTGTAGGTTAGGCTGGCCGTTCTCTGTCCTGACGTTTTTGGAGACCAAAGCAAGCCAAGCTGGTATGAAGATTGTCTTCCTGTATGACAAATTCTTTTAAAAACTATGACTTAGATGAGAATAAGAACTAGGTGTTCATGCTCTTAAAAGTTTTGATTTTTAAAAAAATGTCCTTGTATACTTACAGCTGGACAGACTTGTCTGACTGATTTTTCCTGCACCTGAGACCTCTAGCTCTAGTCTTCTGTCCCTGATGGTATTTGACAGTGCAGAAAATCATGTGAATGAGATAATTCCTATAGTATGCCTTCTTATCTGTTGCATTGCGTATTTTAATTTCTATAACTTTTCTCATAGTATTAAATTCATACAGATTTTATCTGTACAAGTTATCTCTTTCAAGAAACTAAAATAGTGAAATGTTATTGAATTAAAATTGTGAATAAGAAGGATTAACAAGAGAACTGCAAAATTAATGTAGTTAAATTTGTATTTGTAGGTATGAAAATATTCCAACCTCCTAGGTATAAAGTAACATAATTTGCCATTATCTGGTTTTAATTTTTTATTGCTATACGTCACTCAAGAAAATTAGAGTTTACTGCAGAAAAAACAATGAATGGCTATTATGTTATGAGATCACCTCAAACGTGCCAAGTAGAACGTTGTTCTGTTTCTGCTGACCAGCGTTTCCCAGCTGGTGAGACATAAGGTATGAAGTGACAGGCAGCGCCGAGGGGCTGGGGAGCTTTCAGTGAAAGAGACAGGCAGAAGTGCAAGCCTGTGTTGAGAGAAGGGAGGGGAAGGGCCTCGGGATAAGAGTGAAAGAGGAGATAAACAGTGCTGCAGGGCTTGAAGAGAGGTAATGAGGACTAGCTGAGGAGGCAGTGGCAAGGGACTCCCAAGAATGCAGAAGTCTACTTGGTAACGTAGAGTGTAAAGAGGGGAGAAAACGTGTGCTGTGAGGAAGCAGCCAGTAGCAGGAGAAAGGTAGAAACTAAAGAGAAAAGGAGAGATGACAGCAGAGACACTTACCTGGAAGAAGGCTGGGAATTCTTGTGCCGTTCCAGGCTTATAAAGAAAGCCAAGTTTGGATTTGTGTACGTGACCCTTCTGGACTGACTGTTAGAGCAGGACCAGTTTATAATCCTTTCGTGATAGTTAGCTCTTATGGCTTGTACCCACCCATAGCCTAGTTGCTAGTAAGTGTCATGGATAAAAATATTTCGTGCTGTTTTTGCTTAGACTTTCTTTCTTCAGGTATGCACCTGCTTAGCTTTACATTCCGTTTTCTTTTCTTTCTTAGACCTCACCTAAGGATACGGATACTTTAACCTGTTTGACTGGTTCTGTCTACTTCCTGATAATTCAGTGTGCAGTAGACTATCCCAGATAGTTGCTGTATATCTGGCAGTGCAATCTTGTGACCAAGTCTTCCCTGCTCCTTCTGTCTTCTGCAGAGGCGCTATGGGAGAACTGCTTGGGTTTCCCAGAGTATACTGATAAAAATATGGTTAGGCAGAGTGCCCTGTGTGCCAAAGCATAGTTGAGATGACTCAAAACCTGCATTGTGAATACATAAGCTGTAGCCAAGATCTAGTGAGATGAAGCATGTTGGTCACAAAGATGTTGCTTTAGTTACAGTTTAGGCAGGAGCTTAATTAGAAAACAGGTATTCCTGGAGTAGTTATATGAATGAGTATTTGCTGTTGCAAAATACCGATCATTCACTGAAACAGATCCCTCACAGAAGGCAAATTATTTCTTTTCTGCTTCCATTGTTTCCATTTACCTCTTTCTGCTTGAGAAATTTAAGTAAGATGGAACTGCGAGAGACAAAAATTTATTGATAAAATACATGGTTGCAACTAGTCTTCCCAGCTTGCTGTGTGTTCCATGCTTGGGAAAAAAGGGAATTCCCCAAGGCAGAGAAAAGTCCTGACTTTTCAGTTCTGGATTCCTTGTGGCAATTACTACAATCCTGAATCAACAGAAGGGCCTTGCTTTAAAAGACATAGCTTGTTGTCTGCATCATCCCTAGCTAGCTCACAAACAGGAGGTAGGAGGAGAGGGAGACAATGCATGTGTGCTCTGGGGAAAATTTTCCTTGTCTAGTATCTGTCAAAGGAATCATGTTAAAGTTTATTATCAAGAAGTGGATATCAATGGCGATGAGCTTGTCTCTGACAGAATTTTCCATTGGACCCGTTCAAAAGTATTTGGTGATCTTTGTACAAACTTGGAGAAGTTTATTTTAGTAGGAACAGCAAGACAGGAGAAGAGACTCAGGCTGTAACTAGGCTCAGTATGCAGCAAAAAGGATGCTTACTTTTCAAAACATAAAGGTCTGTGCTGTGGCTTTGCTAAATGTACAGTAATAGAATAAAGAGCAGAGACCATTAATACCTGCTGCTGTTTTAGCAGACTGAGCTTTTTCTGTGACTTGCTTGTAGCAGATTCCTAACTGTGATGGGAACAGAAAGGTAAACCTGCTTGCTATATTAATAAAGATCTGGAAAGATCTATGCTGAATATTTCTTCAGCAGCTGGAGCAAATTTTTTTTGCAGTGCATATATTTGTGAGACAAATAACGCCACACTGTTACGAAGCATATTTATGAGTGGGGATGAAAGACGGGAAAATGACTAGGGCATAATTTTGAGGATTTAACTTGAAACTAACTTCCCGAATCACAGCACCAAGTGCCTTCTGGGTGCATAGGAGTCAGCACCCTTGGAAGTGTGAAATCAGACTACCAACAATTATGGGAGGTGTTATGGTTTGCTGAAGAAATGGAAAATGGAAGAGCAGAGAGATTGGATGTGAGGCTGAAGACCCAAGGCTTGCGCTCCAGCAAGTTCTCAGGTGGATAACTGCTTTCAGTTATCAGCAGTTACCACTGTACCACACGCTTTTGTGAAAAAGCGGTATGGCTTGCTTTAGAATCAGTCATTAAAGGCACTGGAATTTCTGATGGCCTTGCAAGCTTCATCTATGTTTATACCTTTTGGCAGGAGCAAACAGCACTGTCTGTATGGCTGCAGTGTAGATGTACCACTGGGCCGGAGGGTAAAGGGCTATGAGTAAGTAGTCTCCTCTGCTTGGCCCTTGGTAGTGGTACTGCAGTGTTTAAACACTGCAGGAGTTCTTGTCACCTCTGTATTTTCCTATGGTTCTATGCTGAATTCTGTATCTCTTTATATTATATAGCTTTTTAGCTGAACAGAAGCAAAGAGGAGCAGGAGCTGTGATATCTGTGATACTTTTCTCTGTATGTACTCACCAAAGAGACTAATATTTACTATTTTTCAGAGTTGTGCTTCTAATCTTCCTGCTTCCCGGGGTGTCTTTATTGCCACAGGCACTTTTACTTAAGGGCTTGGATAGGATATGCAACTTAGTTCAATGAGTTACCATTGTCTTACCCAAGCCATAACCCCTGACCATAATGTACTTAATTTACTGTAAATAGAGATGAAATCTTTTTCACTGGAGGCTTAAGCTAACCTGTTTTACATCTCAGTTGTCCAAGAACACCTACGTCTCAGCCCAGGCTATGTAGTTCATTAAGCTGAGGTTTCTTGACCATGGATCAGGTTTTGAGGGGAAAAAAACCCCAAGTAAATAAAAAGAGATTTCTGTGCTTAATTTGAGGAAATAGGAAAAAAGGTCTTATTCACAAATTGACATTCCTGTATTTTAGGTCAAATACACTGAGACAGTGGCTTCTCATGGTGTATGTATTGTGTGTTTGGGTCTTAGTTTAGTTAGTGAAAAATGGTGCTGTAGTCTTTTTTTTTTTTTTTTTAACTGAACCAAAATGCTCTGTAAAACTATTTGCTGTTATGAAACGAAGCTTTATCCTGTCTTTGTAAATACATATTTATTATCGTAGGGTTTTACAGTTGAAGTCTCCATGTTGTAATTTGGCAGTAGTTCACTGATTAATTTTAACTTGATATGTGTTTCTCCCTTGATATTATACCCTGAACCTGAGAAACCTTTGTGGTTGTATATGTATAAAATGTGCTATGTTTCTGTGATA